CATCCTATAAGCTTCCTGTTTAGACACTCGAATCTTCTTCATCCTCCGAATGAAAGCTGATTTTGTATTTTTACTATGAACCTGTGTTTTAAGGTCCCTTTCATGATTAACAACATCAAAAACTTGGCTCTACCCAGATCCACATTTTCAGAGTAAACAGGGTATTGAGCATGTAACGGCTTGCATGATGAACCAAGTTGTGAAATTTTAAACCGGTTTGCACAGGGTGTGTTCAATATCATGAATTTTCTTTTTGGGGGAAACAAGCAAACCCACTTTCTTTTGCTTGTGGGAAAAAACAGGGGAATAGAGAGTCAGCGCTCAGACCTCAACTAATGAAACACATCACCACCAGGCAAGGATCAGAGTTTATTTGCTTTTTCAACTCAGTCTCTGACAGTCTCTGAATCATTTTTATAATTTTGATACATTTATAAGAAAAACCCAGCATTTACTAGTGATGACTTACTTTATGTCACAGGCACTCTGTTTTTCAAATATAAATATACACAAAAAGTGATCTGTGTAAAAAAAAAAGGAGATCCTGAAATGGAAAAACTCACACAGAGTTTATTTTAAACCAGACTGGACCTTGAAATGTTCATCATTTTCTTAAGGGTGCCGACAGCGGGGCTTTCTCAAAAGTGGGAGCGCGCGGTGCCTGAGGCCACTTCGTCCACGTGGTGAAACGGAAATGGAAATGAGATCAGGCGGGCGAACCAAGAAAGAGTTCACACGAGTGTCTAACTATACGGCGTGGCAACCTGCCACTCGCGGGATGAAAATATGAAATACATGTAGCACACATAGTACATCCGGTCTGTGAAATCACAAATGCATTGCACCGCCCAGGAGGGCAGAAGTCCTTCCTGTTTCTCCATCGCCAAACCTGGCTGGGCCGCGTTGCTGTCTCCTGGCTCCTGTTGCACGCAGGGCTTGTCTGTGTGATTCCTACCGAACCTCTGTAACATTAACATTCAAGGTTCGGGCAGGGGGCCGGAACCTGGAGGGCAAGGTGTTAACTCAGATGTTATGAAACTGTGATAATGCTATTATTTAAGGCACTTGTTTGCGTGTGTTTATACTTTGGCGTTGTAGAAATAAGCCCAAGGGGCTGCTTGCGGTGTCTCGATCCTCCTTGCCTCTCGAGTTCTGTCTGTCTCATCCTATCCAGCAGTAGAATTGATGCCGCTCTAATCCCTGCAAGTTTGGAACTAATGAACTGACTGCTGGGCTGCCGCCACGGCGCCTGGTCCCAAACTATACTGTACTTCACACTCGATTTATTCTCCAGATGGGAGCCTGTGCCGCCCTGCCACGAGGGACCACCTCTTCCACTAGAGTGGAAAAGTGGACGGATGTTGTTTTCTTTGCAGATTTGATCCTTCTGAGCTAGAAACTTGCAAGGATGATTAGTTATTAGCTTTAATGGGTGCCAATTGAACCGACTGCACGTATATTTTCTCCTTTAATTTCGGAGTCTGCCGGTCTTGGTGATGGTTGATTTATCTGCTCTGACGTCACCCGAGCCTGTGTCTCCTCCACAGGTGACAGGAATCCAGCCTCTGAAATCAGAGCACGCCTTGGTTCCTGGCCCGGGCGCAGTCACATAATATGGTGGCTTATGGATAAGGACGAGTTTATTAGCCTCCGGTCCAGTGCACTGAGCAGCCCATGACACGAAATATCGATTGGTTGCAGGAACGTTGGGAAACACCGTATTTCAGAATCATTCTCCCAAGGCTCCAATCTGCCATCCGCCTCCGTGACCTCCGAAGTCTGGGCTCAAACCTGATGTAGCACGGATGACGCCAGCGCGTCTCTTCAAAGCTGTCCTGAAACTGTTGATAAAGGCCCTAATTCCATTATTCTGTCTTTTCCAGCTTGTCAGATGTTAGGGGGACAAGTTCATCCCGCGGTGAGGACGCTTCCACAAGGCTGTCCTTCAGGGTGACCTTTAGAAAGCAGTCCCTTTCCATCCTCATCGGATGACCCCCCTCGCTTCCAGGATGCCAGGTTCCCCCCAGTTCTTCCTCTGGCAGCTTCTGTACTTCCTTCCCCTTTCCTTCCATCTCCAGGAGGCTTGTCCCTCCCCTAGGTCACCCGAGAGTCCTCTGAGAGATGGTGTCTGCCAGGTGCCCCTGGAGGGAATGGGCCAGAGGGACAGGCAAGGGACACGTGAGGGGTGAAAAGATGGAGACAAGAAAGCACACAGGACAGTGTCACGGAGAGAGGGGGAGCAAATGGAAGGAACAGAACTTCCTTTTTTTGCAACTGGGTAGACTGTGGCTTTCTCACCAAACACCCAGTGCTAAACCTAACTGGTTCTTAGAAACTGCCTTCATTCATCTCAGACCAACAGATGGCGGGGTGTGTTTGCTAACACAGCAACATATTTCACCATGAAAATACCAAAAAGAGAAAAAGAACCAACATGCCTGTCGGTTGGTGTAAATTCATGAAGTTGTTGGGTATTTTGGGATCCAGACCAGACAGACGCACACTCGGTTTGTGTAAATCCAAACAGCTAACAGCCTGTTAATAACAGTGTCTCGTGGCAGTGTACCTCCAAAGCTGCCGTCTCCTTTTGGAAAGGTGCAGAAGGATGAAGTGAAAGAGCTTGGCTTTAATTCTGAGACAAAATTAAAAAGCCCAATAAAATGCTGAGCATTCACTGCTCATTATAACATGAAAAGTACTAATCAGATTATGCCCAAAATTGGAGTTAGGGACCTCATTTGCAGCCAATTTCCCAAGGACTGAATTTTCTTAAGAAAGCCGGAATGTGCTGAAACCATAGTGATCTGACTCAAGATAAAATTCACAAACAGGTTTGGAACGCGAGCTTTGAACAAACAGTCTTGTTCACATCCAAGGAAAACCACAAAACAACTCAAAGGTCAGATTCTGTGTGACATCAACATCAACAATTTAGGAGGCTGGTGTTGCCAGGGACCGCGTGCTGCTGAGCACAGGCAGACTCAAGCAGAGGGGAGACGCCAAACCAGTCGTCATTCCAGCTTCAGAGGGGCCTCAGCCTTGCTGGTCTGCTGAGTTCCCTTTACTCTTTATTTACTCTGTTATAATAGACCCCTTGCAAAGCTGACTTTTTTGTTTTTGGTGTGTGTGTGTGTGTCTGTGTGGTACTAGAAAATGAACCCAGAGCCTTCACTCTGAGCTACATATCTATTTATCATCTACCTATCTAAGGTTAAGACAGGTTCCTCCTGAGTCACTAGTTACCAGGATGGGCTTGCATTTGTGATCCTCCTGCCTCAGCCTCTCAGACTGCTGGGATTATAGGCCTGCACCACCTCACCTGGCTAAGGCTGACTTGCTTCTGAGAGAGAATCTGGAAATTAGAATGTTTGCAAAGTGGGGAGATCCAGGGTCAGCGGCTGTCTGGGTCTCCCAGGCCTATGCTACCAGAGAGTACGAAGCCTTAAAGTCTCCTGCAGCTCAGGAGGGCCTGGCGCACATGATGCTGAGCAAATGTCTGTCTTCGCTTTGTGCGTTCCCATTCAGCGGCTGTGAGGTGCTGGTAGAGCACATGGACGAAGAGCTTCATAACAGTGGAGTGGCCAAAGGTGTGCTGCAGAAGCAGTGTCGGCTGTTGCACTCCTGACTTTGGCTAGTGTGAACTCCTTCTCTTGTCTAAGCTTGGCCTGATTATCGGTGGCCGAAGTGCTGTAGATCAGGATTCCACAGAGCTGCCCCCATGCTGGTCCTAGGTACTGTTTCCATCCGACCTGACGACTTGAAGCTACCGTTTCCTCACGCCGTTTAACTCAGACCACATTTGGAAGTAGGTCATGGGCCTCCATCCGTCTGGTTCAAATCTCGCGTCCTGGCTTGTCTCCTGCATTGGACTTTGACTCTGTATTGGCTTACATGAGTCTTTCTTGTCCCTTTTTTGGTTTGCTGTTTACCTAGATAATCATTGCAATTGAAACGGCTGTATATTGTTAAGACATAAAGGAAAAAAAACCACCCATCAGCAGCAGTGAGTAGCTTTAAAGTTTTATTAGTGTCATAAAACCCCTTCCCAAATGAAACTACTTTTGATAAGCGCTTGTTCTGACAATGCAGATTTGTTGAGGGCTGTTGGCAGTGGGAGGAATTTGGTTTGGAAACTGAAATCAGCAGGAAGTGACGCCCTAGTGCTTTCTCTCGCCTGATACCAACCCCCGCCCCAGGACCATCCCTCTGTCCCCCACTCGCCTTCATCATCCCAACCCAATCCCAATAACGAGCATATTTGGACTCAGTTTTTCTTGGGACAATTCAAATACTGAAGCAGAATTTCAACCTTTCATCTCTTAACTGTGGAGCAAAGCCTGTCAAATCACAGGGGAAAAAATGTATTTGTCAAGCGTTTCGCAAAGGGTATCCTTGGTGCTGTTGCTGCCTTCCACCTGAATAAGTGGGACATTTTCTTGTTATGTGGAACGTGGCATTCCTGCGAGCTGCCTCTTAATTGAATGTCAAGATGCAACTCAGTTGCAAAGAATAAAACAAAGAAGTTAGTAAAAAAGCGTTATACCTCGAGGAAAGGAAAAACATCCTTATTTTACCCTCCGCCCCCCTAGAATGTGAATAGGCTGACAGATCTAGATCTGTCACTGTGATCTAGATGTCTTACATTTATTAAATGAGAACAGTCTGGTTAAAGAACTTAGACTCATGCTTACCCTTCGTTAATGCCAGATCAGTAAGTAATTGCCTATTACTCTTTCCCACTTGGAAAGGAGCAGGGACGGGCAGGATGCCACGGCTGTGTCGTGGTGAATCTCAGCTGTGAGAAAGCCACCTCGAGTGGTCTAGAAATCAGTGGCTCACCTGCTAGATTGGGTCTTTTTTCTAATATCACTTCTATGATAGGAAATTTAATAATAATAACGGCGTCGAGACTCTGAATCTGCAAAGAGTTTCACAGATCATTCATGTTCCTCTTCATGATCAAACTAAACTTAGGAGTACGATTTTATCAACACTTACAGAATGAAGCTCGGTTGAGAATAGTAAAAACTCTCGAAGACTTTGATCTGGGCCCAACTGAAAAGTGTGTCCGAGTGAGCTCGGTGTCCAGCGGTCTGGCCGAGGAGGACCTGGCGGCCATCCTGCAGTCCCAGGTACTCCCTTCCAGTCTGATGCTCCCCAAGGTGGAAAGCCCTGAAGAAATCCAGTGGGTGAGTAGGAATGCTTTGCTCTGAGACACAGATCTGTTGGCCAGGTGTAATAGCAGAAATAAGGACTGGGCATCCTTGGTTTTTGATTTTGGTTCGTTTCATCCCTAACTTTGTAACTGTTGTGAGACAGGGTATTGCTAAGTTGCCTAGGAGGGACTTGAACTTGCCATCCTCCCGCCTCAGCCTCTTAGAAAGCTAGGGTTACAGCCATGCACACCATTCCCTTTGGTGCCCTTTTGGAAAATTCACACGAAGAGCAGAGAGGACGGAACGAGACAGAAGACTGAGTGTGAGCGACCCTTCCCTCCTCCTAGGAACTGGCTTTTCCCAAGTGTCCTGGGATAACTCTGCTTTGGAAACGATGCTTCTGCTCCCTGATGGGATGTGAAGCTCGGACAGGTCAGCTCCCAGCAGTGCCCCAGGACAGTCCCTGGATAGGAGCCCTCTGTCCCTGCTCCGACCCCCTGGGCCCAGGCCGAGGTTTCCACCCAAAAGAGCCGAGCCTTATGCAGCCCTCGCTGAGCTGCACTGAATTCATCACAGGCTGCTGAGGATGCAGGCTGTGCATGAGAAACTGAGGCAAAGTAAGGGAGGCAAAGGTCACCTCTGGGGGCAGCTAGATGAATACACAGGAAGCTTTTAAACTGGTGGTCTTAATTAGCAAAGATATTATTTCCTGAACAGTTCTCTAGTACGTCCTGTTTAAATTGCCGACAGGTGTGTTTGAGCTTCACGACAGACTTTTCAGCCAATAAAAACCTGAATGTAAAGTGGCTGGCACATCAAATTACTTAAGAAAACTTTTGAAATAGGCCCAATTATACTATCATTGTTTTAACTGTGAAGCAATGGGGGGACTGTCTCTGTTGAATAAAATACCTTTTTTTTTTTTTTTTTTTTTGGTACTGGAGATTGAACTCAGATCCTCATGCTTGCAAGGCAGGCGCCAGAACCACTGAGCTAAATCCCTGGCCCTAAAATACCATTTTGTTGTGCTACTTCAGGGCAGAGGCTATGAGATTGGAGAGCTGGCTGTGTTTGTTGTCAGGGTGAATGAGCAGTGGGAGTTCAAAGTGTTATCTCTAAGAGCCAGGAGTGGTGGCATACACCTGTAATCGTAGCACTTGGGAGGCTGAGGCAGAAGGATCTCCAGGAGTTGGAAGGCAGCCTGAGCAACATAACGTGTTCAAGGTCAGCCTGAACTCCGTAGAATGACCCTGTCTCAAAAAATAAAAACAGCAGCAAAAAAGTCTTATCTCAAAGGGTCTGGATGTGACCACAGCAAAACACAGAGTGGTTATACTCATAAATCTGCTTACCTGCTTACTACATCTGAGTAGGTTGGACCTCTCGTGTGTGACACAGGGGCCACCTGCCACCTGCAGTTACTGCATACTTGAAATGTGGCCCAAGAACTGAATGTGCTGTAAGTGTAAGGTGCGCACCTGACTTTGAAGACTTGGGAGGCAAAAAGGTGAATGTGAACCATCTCAATTTTTATGCTGATTGCACATCGAAATGATATTTTGGATCTACTGGGTGGAATACAAGATGTTATGAAAACTAACTTGACCTATCTCACTTTAACTCTTTGACAACACGTAGCTACTGGCAACTTTAAAATTAAAAGCCAGGCATGGTGGTGCACACCTGTGATCCCAGCACTTGGGAAGCCGAAGCAGGAGGATTGCTGTGAGTTCAAGGCCAGCCTGGATTATATAGCAAGAGCCCATCTCAAAAAAAAAAATTTTTTTTTAAATCATACTTATAGATGCCCTTGTCTTTGTTGGGTAGCTCTGTGTTGGACTCCTCTTTTTTTTTTTTTTTTGGTACCAGGGATCGAACGCAGGTTCTTGCGCTTGCAAAGCAGGCGGCAGAACCGGTGAGCTATATCCCCGGCCCTTCGACTCTTCTTAACGACCTGTAGTCAAGGGCCAGTACTTACTACTGAACTGGGGTTCTCTCCAAGGTCACCCTGAAAACTGGGAGCTTGTTAATGTCTCGGGGGCTGGGACTCCGCTGGGACATGTCCTAGGTTGATGGAAGTGGGCGCGAGTCACTGACCCTCTTGGGTTTCACCCTTAATGCCTGCGTATCCCCGGTATCAATCAGCCTTCATCCGACAGGGGGACCCATCCCAGCCCCCTCGGCTGCGGGGAGCGCGCTGGAACTGAAGCAGCTCGTCTAATTCACAGAAAGTTTTCGGGGCTGTTTATTTTTTCCTCTGCGTTTGTATTTATGCGAAGCGTAAAACCCAGAGCCTGATGCACAACTCAAAGATGGGCTTACTTGTTTCCTTTTGTGTGAGAATCTCTTGCTCGCCTTTTGTCGCTAGTGTGGGTTCTTGTTTGACTGGCACGGCTTATTGGACTATAACAAGCGTAACTCTGCCTCTTTTGTCGCGGGACAATTCTCCCACAAATCCCGAACAGTGTGCTTTCTTCCAACACACTATTGGGTGTGCACTGGAATTGAAAGAATTGCTCAGCCTGGCTACTTCATCTCCTCCCCAATCTCTTTGTGATTCCCCCCCTTCTCTCCCTCCCCCACCCCAGCCCCCTCCACCTCGCTGAAATGAACACTTTACCAGGCCGGAAACATTTAATCGTCTCCTTTTGAAAAAAATTAATTGAAACTTCTCCACTAGTTACCTTTTGTGTTAGTACTTAATGCAATTTTTTTAAAGAAAGCGTGGGGGGGCTGCCATATTTAATTTTTTAAATGTCCCTACTGGTTTAAAAACAAAGAACGTTCGAGATTTTGCTAAGAGCCAGGAGAACCTTTTAAATGATTTGCCCAGTTGTAAAGTTTACAATTTTTGTACTTAGAAGAATTATCACAGAGAACAGGGCAAGTGGCTTTTGCAAGATTTCTTTTTTCTTTTTTCTTTTTATTTTAACGAGAAAAGAAAATCTACATAGTCAACACCAAAACCACTAATATTTCACCACCCATTTTCTAGCATCACTGTGACATAAATTACGTTTTATTTCTCTCTGCGTCGAAGGCCGCAGGGTTCTGTCCCCTCACACTGCTGCTTCTCTCTTCCTGGTTGGCTCTGGAGGAGTTGTTCCTGGCCTTGAAAGTTACTGAGGGGGTGATGCTGGCCCAGGCACGGAGGGCAGGGAGCAATGGGAATCGTCCTTCATTACTGAAAGCTGTGATTTATTTTAGCCTAATTGTAAAGTTACTGCAAATTGCTCAAAAGCTTTTTAAAGATCCCAGTGATTAGATTTTTTTAAGGGGGGGGTGGTTTTGCAGCCGAGGAGGGGCAGCTAAAAGGGGAAATAACACCTCTAATCCCGCTTCTGGTAAATAGGCTGCCAGCTTTTAAAATGAGTTTCCTTTCTATTAGTCAGAATATTATGCTAAGCCTTAAGCATTAGTTTTTTTATGTTGCCATAGCAGCCTTATTCCTGCAGGGTGGTGACCTGTGATGATTACAGTACAAAGCTTATAGGGTCTTGAAACCCCCTTTGAAGATGAAAAGTCTTTGATGGTTTATATTTATGCAAATCTCTTAGATATGATTTACCCAACTGAGACTGAATGGAGAGATGATTAAAATTCCCTTTTCCTTTGATATCCATTAATGGCTGAATATTCCTTAAATTTAAAATGGATATATTTATGTTTTCATCTTTCTTTACAAAAATATCTTTATCACACCTGTGTTGTTGTTGTTTTTTTAATCTCTTCACATCTTATTAGATCTAGATAGACATAATAGATTTACAATTTAGATTGTGGGTTTTTTTTCCCCCTTTTGAAAGGGGAGGGGTGGGGGGAATCTGGGCGAGAGCTTTTGTATGTTTCCAGATGATAGATTTTGGAATTTGGGCTACCCCACTGGCAGCCAGAGCTAGCTGTGAACTGGTCTCATGGAAAAAATTGGCAAGCTTTGGTCTTCAAAGAATTCAACTTCCTTTTTAAGGTCTTCCTAGGTAAGCTAAAAAATTATGGAGAAAAACTATCCAGACAAAGGGTGATGGCGCTATAATGAATAATACGGATCGCACACAGAAGGCTGTGGAACAGTTGTACCGATGTCAGTGCTGGGCACGGAACAAAAACAGCCGCAGGTAGAGCGATACCACATTGTTTTAAGGGCCACATTTGCATCTAACGCAGAGAGGGCCAGGAGTCTCTAGTAAATATGTTTTCACCAGAAGCATTTAAACCCAGGAACCTTTCCTTCCAGTATGACTCCTAGGCCTCAGGTTGTTCCTTAGGTGAAAAAAGAAATTGTAATGCTTGGGGTTTTGCTGTTTAGTTTGGTGGAACTTTGTTACCTTTTTGCTTTTCATTTTTTCTTTCTTTCTTTTTATTGTGTGGATGAAGGAGGCTGGGATATTACTTCCTCAGGTCAAAGACTTAAATACTCTACTACTTCTGCGTCTCCATTTCAGGGATTGTACCCTTTTCTTTCTTTTCTTTTTCTCCTGCCACTAATCACCTATGACACATTTGATTTTAGTTTGCAGGCAAATTTTCATTCCACTTAAAAGGCCGAAAACTCGAACAACCAATGAATTTAATCCCTTTTGTGGAAACTGCAATGGGTTTGCTCAATTTTAAGGTAAGAAAATCGTAACCTTGGATACATAAGTTAGTATTTTATTTATCTCCAAAAGACAACCTTTGCTTTCAATTTTAACATCTATTTAAAAAAAATTTTTAAGAAAGATTTATCAGCAAGGTAGACCTTGAGCACCATCTGTTATCTGTAATAGTCTAAAAACCAGGTCGTCAGCATCTTAGAAAACAAAGAAATTGGTTAAGTAGAAAGTAAAAGCTTCCCAGTCCTAAATATTTAAATGAAATATTTACATATCCCTAATACTAACTTTAATTAAATAATCACTGTGTAAATATATACTTTGGATGATTATGTTTATAGATTAAATGTACATGGGGAATTAATTTTGTTACTTTGAATTGTTCTTTTTCTATCAGTAGCCTTTTCGCGGAGGCATTTTCTGACCTCATTGTAAGCAGCAAGTCATCCAGACTGTAGCAGATGAGATTATTGTTTCTAAGTTCATGTACACAAATAATTGACAGTCTATTATTTTACTTTGGCATGTTAGAACTAAAAATATTTTTAAATACATGTACAGGGGGTACAGGGGAATTGGCCAAGCCAAGAGTTTTCAACCATTTTGTGGGGCCCTCAGCTACCTGCCTTGGCAGACCCATCGCTGGCCTGTTTTGTTTCCCTTTATTCATGGGCGTTTATATTTTGTTTTTCAAATATGCCTCTCGCTCCCCCTGGCCTGCGATAGCAACCTCGTACCCCAGCACCCCCTCCACAGAGTTTCTAGCCCTCTTTTTTCCTCCTCCTCTGCCAGAGGGCAGGAGAAAGAGATCACTAAAAACAAAGGAAAAAGATAGTTGACCTGGGCTGGAGAGAGAATGTGTGAGCAGATGCTGGAGAGAAAACTTTGAGACCAGTGGGACTGTGCAGGAGGGGCTGAGTGCAAATGTTCGGGGGCCATTTCTAGCCTCGCCTCGCAGTCAGCTCATTTACGCAAATAGCCAAAAATTCCTCCAGCCCACCCTAGAACCCTCGGAATGGAGTCGACAACACATCCCTTCGAAGCAACCAGATTCATACAGTGATTTAATTCTAAGCACTGTTTCACTATTTTATTCTATAATGTACTTAGGGGCCCTTGCAATGCCTGAAATTAATCAACAGTGTCCCTACTGGTTCCTCATTTCTTTTCCACCCACATGTGTATTAGCAGCTTACATCCTCACCTTTCAAGATTCCCAGTCCTGTCTGTAGTGAATGTTATTAATCTTCAGTTTTGTTCAGAGATGTCAAGGTTGCTTTATTAACCCACTGTGGAGGACTTGTTGCATTTTTATTTTCCCCTCTGAAGCTATAAGTTTTGTATCAGATGCCTTTAATCCTGACCATTTGCTTGATCCAAATGCAGGTAATCAAATTAGTTTGATTTTAAAATTCTTTCCTTCTTGCCTGTGTCTTTGTTTATTATTTAAGAACCTCTTAAAGCACAAATTTGGAAAAATATAAATAACTTGTAGTACAATCAAAAGGAGTTAACTCGAAATTTCTCTAGAAGTTGGGTTATTTACAATGTGAGCATTATAACTGTATTACTGAGTAGCAGTGGGTATTATTATAATCCACTGAGCAAAGCGGATAGCTAGAGTGCTTGCTCTGGATGATGTTAAACACCTTTGGGAAGGGTTAAATTTGGGCTGCAGTTTTAGGCTGGAAGCCGGGTCTCCCAGCTGATAGAGGAGCCCGGCTCCTCTCCTGCGAATGTTTCTGTAAGACCTGGTTCTTCTCTGCTTTTTGCAGGCAGTTTGTGAAGAAACCCTAAAGATCGGGCCTCATGTGGGTCTTTTCCTAGATGCAGTCGTTTTTGGAGGAGAAGATTTTCGAGCCAGCATAGGTGTCAAAGACCTTTCTCTCGATCTCTCCCTGTGTGTGTGTGTGTGTGTGTGTGTGTGTGTGTGTGTAATTTTTCTTTGCGCCTCACAAATGGACATTTAAATAACAATGTTTCTTTACCAACCATGCAAATGTCTGTTCATGACAGTGGCGTGGATACCACTTCCTGATCATTTAGGGCTCCTCATAGCAGTCCTGTTTCCAGAATACTGCATTATGATTTCTGCTCATTTATAAAATAACTAAAAAAAAGCCTGTTGTAGCCTCAGGCATGTTTAAGAATATACAGCATCTAGTTGGCTCCTAATAAATTTATTATACCAACCACCTTTCAATAACTTAAATATTTGTCTTCATATTAATCTGGGAGCTGCCTGGGATTCTAAAACAAATTTAAGGCCCTTTTACATTGGCCTTAGTGAATTGTTTTCTACATAACGGTAGTACGTAAATATCACTTAAGACAGGTCTAAATTTTATCTTAAAATATATTCCCAAATTCTTATTAAATATTTACTGGGACACTGCCAGTTTTCACCGATTTCCTCTGTCCCTCCAGCCCTGGCCTCTGTGTAACTGACACGTTGAGGGCCAGGGCCACAGGGCCACATCCCAGGGACCGGGAGACACTTTCCCTGAGCAGGGAGTGTCAGGCATGGCCCGCGCATAAGAGTGACACCTCCCCGTCCCTCCGGGCTGAAGAAAGGAATTGATTTTAATACCAGTCTTTGCAGGAGACTTCCGTGTGGCCGACAGTTCACCGGACTACACGGGCAGACTGACACTTTGTGCCTCTCCCAAAATGATGTCGGTCTCGTTCCCCGAGTGCCCCGGCCAGATGTTTAGTGCAGAACCTCAGTCAGGACATGGGTCGCACGCCCAGCACAATGGGCCCAGCCTGGCACCTGCCGTTCTGTGCCCAGCGTGAGAAGTGGGCTGCTCCCCCACATAGCTCCCCTGGCCACTTTTTGTGGAGCTGTCTTTGGGCTGACACTTGGGAGCAATGACAAGGAGGAGAAAAATCTATCAGGAGTCCCTGGGACCCTGATTCTGCCTCCCAAAAGGAGGAGGGGCCTCTGTGCTTGATGCCTGCAGAAATGACTGTGTGGAAAGATTGTCCCATCAGGGAAACAGACACATGAGATTTAACACACCGCCTGCCCACACCCCTCTTCCTTTCTATTTGAAGAGTTGTTATTTTGCTGAGGAGCGATTCCCAGGGTGACATAGGTGTCTTCACAATCTGAGTTTTTAGAAGAAATGTCTGGGTTTGGTTTCCAAAGTTAAAGCCTCTTTCCGTGTCCACATCCCATTTTCAGGCGCAACAAGTAGTAAAGACACCCAGGACATTCTGTACGCCCGACAAAAGATTGTTGTGGTGGCCAAGGCCTTTGGCCTGCAAGCCATAGATCTGGTGTACATTGACTTCCGGGACGAAGACGGGCTGCGCAGACAGTCGAGAGAAGCTGCCGCCATGGGCTTCACTGGTAGGACTCTGATGATGTCTTAGAAGCTGTGTCTGGATTAGCAAGCACTCCAGAGAAACAGAAATTTAGCCAGGAAGTACATTTCTCATGTGCTCAGAGATCACATGTAGTTATTCCACACCCTCCAACAATGAAAAGGCCAAGAGCAACAACCACCTGCCAAATCAACTGTCAGCTTTCTCTTTGGCTGTACATATCAAAAAGCAAGCCCCTTGTTTTATTTTCTCTTTAGATTCATTGCCATTTTTCTCCTGTCCTCTTAAGAATTTTAGTACAGCCTTTGCTGATCCCAAGGAAGCTCCTGTGACAGGAGTGTTTTGGAGTGAACTGCCGTAAAAAGTTGGGTCCACGCGTGGACGAGAAGTTTCCTCAAATACCCAAAATGTTCGTTTATTTCTGAAAAAACAATTGCTGATCTCCTTCTACAATTTGATTTGTGTTCAGAACTAGTTTTTTGCTCTTCTGCCTCTCCTGCCTCCCCGCAAGAGACCTAGGACACCCACGGTATTGGTTGGCACTAAGTGCAGCAAGTCCCTCACAGCCCCGCCTGGGGCACAGGGGAGCCGCTGGTGACTCGGGGGTCCCCTCACTCTGCTCCCCATGGGCCTGGGGGGCACCTGAAAATTTGAGGGTTTTTTGTAACAAATCTATTTTTTGAAAAACCACAATAATTTCCTGTCATAAAGACGTGGGAGCATACACACACACACAGCCAGAAACCAAGAAAAATACCCTGTGCTCTTTTATTCTTATTTGTTTTCATGCTGAAAATTCCAAGAATATTTATACTAGAAATATATTCAAATAATAAGGAGAAAACAAGCACTGCGCTATCCCTGTTATAGATCTTTGGGAATTATACCTCGTTAAGGGTATCTACTAAAAGAAGGATCTCATACAGTGCCCTCAAACATAAATGGTATCTTTATCTTGGACTGGGGATTTAGCTCAGTGGTTCTGATGCCTGCCTCGCAAGCACAAGGACCCGAGTTGCTCAATCCCCAGTACCAAAAAAAAAAAAAAAAAAAAAAACAAGCAAACCACCAAAAAACCAAACAAACAAAAAAACAAATACAAATGGCATCTTACTGGTTGATGCTTTAACCTGAAATAAAATTGAAAGATTTAGAAAGCAATATAATAGCCAGGCATGGTGGCACACACCTATAATCCCAGCCACTTGGGAGGCTGAGGCAGGAGGATCACTAGTTCACTAGCCTGGACAACTCAGTAAGAGTCTCAAAATTAAAAATTAAAAAATTAAAAGGGCTGATTATGTCTCTCAGTGACATAGTGACTGTGGGTTTCCTTCCAAATACCACAAAAAGGACATAGCTGTATTATCAATATTAAGGCTGTTAGAATTCAAGCTCTGACATTTGCTTTTTGTGTATTTAAGATAAAGAACTAAAATAAACTAGGCCTTGATTTTTAAAGCTTTAAAAAAAAAATCAGTATGATCTCTCATAAAGAAATGTTTTTCAGTGATACAAATTATCAATAAGTGAATGGTCCCTACATTTAAGTGACTGGGAAAGAAAGGCGCCCCTCCCTCTGCCTACTCCACAGGCCTGAGCCTGAGCTCTGCCTCTTCCCAGGACCTGGCTAGGTTGTGGCCCAAATGGGACAGTTGGAGAAAAACTCCATGAAATCTATCTAATAGACCCTGATGTTGTTGGCCTAAAATGTGTGGCACTGGCTGCCAGGCAGCCAGATGTTGCTCCGAAATGAGAACTAATTCAATAAAAAAGAGAAAGCCCTGGCCTGCATCCCCAGCCTTGGGGACAGGTTTCCTCAGCTTCCTCCAGAGTCGTGTTTGCCCCAGAGCTTCGAAGGGAGCTTGAGGGGGGTCCCCAAGACAGAGGACTGAGTTGAATTGGTCCCCAATTCAATCGCAAAAGGCAGGCGATTTCAAATCAGGTTTAAATTTCTAGACTGTGCCCAACTCAGCACGAGGAACTTATGGACCTGGCACTATTGTTTCTCCACAACGGGGAGCATTAAATCACACAGAAATGGAGGCGGGGTGCAGGAGCCTCCAGGGCATGGTGCCCAGGATGCACTCACAGGAACGTGGCTGCAGACAGGGGCCACACTCCGAGGCCATTTTGCCTTTTTTTTTTTTTTTTTTTTTTTGCAGAGAAGGTCTTTGTTGTCCCACTTATATTTCAACATACTAATCAAAGGTAATTAAAAGATAGATTATGTATAATATTTTTAAATGCTCTTTTACTATTTCAGACACCTTTTTGTCCTAATTGTTTGGCATTTAATTGCCATACCTTGGGCCTCACAAGAAAAGAGCATTTTTAAATGCTCTTTTACTATTTCAGACACCTATTTGTCCTAATTGTTTGGCATTTAATTGCCATACCTTGGGCCTCACAAGAAAAGAGGAAAGGAAAAGAAGAAAAAGAATAAAGGAAGGGAGGGAGGAAGGAATAAGTGACCTGATTCTGAACTATCTATCTGAAGCAGGTGGTAGAAAGGGTTAGAATCCAGGGCTGGCATTGTGTTAATCTGTAATAGATACTGGAAAGGAAGACTGAATCTGGGCTACAAGGATATTCTGTGCTTTTAAATATATATATATATATCTTTTTCTTAATAAGTCATAGTTGCTTAAAAGTTAGTCTTATACCAACTGTACACTATGCTTTCTTTTCTGCTGTCATTATTTCATGGTGTCACGATCTACGTTGATTGATTTTAAATCAATGCATTGGATGTATAAATAGCCATTCACTTTGAGATTTTTTTTTAATAAAAAGACACCCAAACTAAATCTCGGGATAAAGCTTTACCAGCTGACTTAGTCATTACAGTTACTCTAGTACTACATGCTGAGAAGAAAGATTATAAATATGAAGCACTATAGGTTTTCTTCTTTTTCTCAGCCTTTTGTAGAAGACAAAAATGACACCATCATACAGTTACCTAAAAGACTTGACAGGTATTGATTTAAAGCAAGATATATCAAGTGGTACTGTAAAAAGGATTTCATGGTCATAAATTTTAATGTTGTCCAATTTTGCACCCTCTCAGTAACTTGTCAATAATAACTCTTCTGCATAAAATATTTGCTCCCTTCCCACATGGCATTCAAGTCGGTTATACAGTTGTTGGGTTGTAGACGAAGGCTGCAAAAGAGATCTTCACATAATGGACATGGATTTCTAAAATCTCGCACATCTTAAAATTGACCTCACTACCAAAATATAGGTACTCGACAGCCAGCAAAGACTTCACAGGATTTTCAGGAGATTCTGTTTGCTCCTCAAAGTGTAGTGCCTGAATCAAGACTTCTCCGTGAAACTTGGCTTTTTATACATCAGTGGAAATTATGTACATAAATTATGAAATTCAAGACTAGCAGTTAGTAGGAAATGACTGATAGACTGACAGCCTTATTAACAATATTGTAACTATTGGATCACTTAAATATGAAGTACCTATTGTTTGAAAGCATTGTTTGTCATCGTTCGTGTTATGTACGTCTCTAGAAATTATTATTCTAATAATTTCATCTTCACTGATATATATATATTTTTAATGTTTTGTTAGCATGCCGACAGATAAGAATGAAATAGCAACATGAAGGTGTTCTAATTGTGCCACAGTAAAGCAAAGATGTTTTAGTCACTTAAATTCCTTTTCATGACACACTAAAACATGTTTTAAAAGCATTGTTCCTGTTTCTTGGACAAAATAATGACAGTAACAGGAGTTGGCATTTTATAAAACATCCAGCATGTAGTCGGCACTGGATAGATGTTCAAACAACTATTTCAAATCAAAAGCTAATTGATATACCAACAGATACACAGAGTAAATGACCATTAAAGGATATATTCATTTTTAAGGAAGCAAATTATATCCATAACCCTATCATGTAATAAAATATAATCTCATCATTATTGTAACATTAAATTATGTTGCATTTATTAATGACCTGACTAGATTCCAAACTTCCTTGATTGATAAATTATTTTCCTGATGACAGTATGATTCCACAGAGCCCTTGACTCTTACATTTGTGTGATACTTTTGTTTAAAATCCTTAAACTTCAAGCAAGCAATATTTTTTAGATATTTCTATAGAGGTAATATTTTTTTCTGGGATGTGTAAGTTGCTATGAAGGATGAAATAGTCTTCATTCCATAAGCATAAAGGGGAAGTCTGGATATTTTGAGGCTAGAGAAATGTTCTGTAATTTTTTATTTTAAAAAAATCAGTATAATCTAGAGGTTATATTGTTCAAAATCTGATTTCTATTTTACTGTACTGAATATACTATTTTTATTGAAATTCAGTTTTCTGTTAGGAATGAGAAATGGCACCTTTTAAAGACAGAAAATTAAGCAGATCATTATAGGACCGCATTTGATGTGACACCTGCTTCCATTAGCCCTGTGCGAGCTGACAACGCCACTCCTCCAAGAAACCATAGAAGGTGGTGTCCTCCCTCAAAATAAGCAAAAGAGAACTTAGGAAATTCGAAAGAATTCTCATGGAATTTCATTTTCCTCTAACTCAGGATAATGGCTGTAATTTGTGGACATCATCCTTTCACAGGGGTGCTGCCTGGGCATTAACCTGTAGCTAAAACCGAGGTAGCTACGCCGAGGTGGCCCTCACAGTGCCTTCTGTTATTGTATCTGTTCTCCTGTGCTATTCCGGAAAAGGCTGCCTGATGACAGGTTTTGCTCTGTTTTATTATTTTTTTCTTCAAAAAAGTTCTAAACTCGTTATTTAGCACACGGTCCGGGCGGGGGCACGCAGGAACCTTTCGCAGCGGACGCGTTTTGTCTGAACGCCTGTCAGTGCTGCGAGGGCCCGGTGTTGTCCATCTCTTTTAGGTAAGCAGGTGATCCACCCGAGCCAAGTCGCCGTGGTCCAGGAGCTGTTCACCCCTGCCCCGGGAAAAATCCAGTGGGCAGAAGAACTGATTGCTGCCTTTCAAGAGCATCAGCAATTAGGAAAGGTAAATGTTTTGTTAATGCCTTGGCTGGAGCTGGTGTTTACAATACTGTGGGGAAGAATTTTTTTTAAAAAATATGCGTGAATGGTTTTAGGAAAACTCATTGTATTTGGTGGGGCGTGTGAAGGGCGGGGCAGACGCCAGATTCATCCTCTAAAGGTAGACTCGCCCTTCCCTTTCCCGTCCCTAAATATTTCACTAATGGCCTCTCAAGTGTCTCGTTTTATTCTTTCCATCAGATATATTGGCAGCCTTAGAGAAAATGGAAGTCTGTTTAGTTTTTCCTCTGCAGACTTCAATGCAGCATTCATATGAAAATAATTTTAGATCAAAGTGAGAGCAAGTTGTAATGAAATAAACACAGTTTGACCAAATGGTTCTTGTGGAGAAAAGAAATAAATTTCAAGTTATTTTAATTTCGGGGGGAGGGGAGTACAAAAATCTCCTCCGGTTTAGTCATTTAAGAGTGGGAGGTTGTATGTGTGTTTGTACCAATTTCTGGACCTGCGATTTGGATCGAATGAAAAGCAAATTAACACTGGAGTAGGGTTGTTCCTAATTTAGTGCGTCATTGAGCCCGTTTCCTGCTCCGTGGGTTTCTGCTATGTAAATATTGCAGTGGTAATGCACAATCTGTCTCCACTTTGTGCCAGTAACACTTAAATTAGGTGTCGCCTGAAGGAAGATTTTATGCTAGTTGCAGCATTGTCAGTTAATTATCTTAAAGGTTATTTGCAATACTACCGCTTGCCTCTTTTCAAGAGGATAGGAAAGTCACATTTATAAATCTATCCCAGAGGTAATCTCTAAACTCAGCCTGTGACTTCCATAAGGGATCGAGTTTCCGTGCTTTTAATGCAGATTAATTCGGAAAGAAAGAATATGGAAAAATTATTAAGGATCTAAATGTTAAACAGCCTCCCTTGCCAAAAAAAAAAAAAAAAAAAAAAAAAAAAAAACCA